TTGGGGGCTCCTTATTATACTTATTGTATAGTATACCCCAAACCTCAGAATAGGGTTTTGGGGGCTCCGTATTATAGCTACAGTATAGTATACCCCAAACCTCACTCTAATGATTAAGGCCCCTATATTCTGATCATAGAGGACTTGGCAGGCAAACCTGAAGCAGGTTTACGAATAGGGTGACCCTTGAAGTAGATGCTGAAGTCTGCGGCCCTGAAGCCCTAAAGCCTCGCCTCTAACTTCAAGGCTCTAGGGAAGGCCTTAAAAGACCCTAAACCCCTAAGAGGGCCTTTAAAAACCCTAAACCCCTAAGAGGGCCTTAAAAAAACCCTAAACCCCTAAACCTTGGACTTTTTCAATCCTTTCAAAACCCCAGAGCCCTGGTGCCTTGAGCCCCTTCTGTCCCAAAGCTTGTTTAGGGTTTAGGGTTTAGGGTTTGGGGTCTAGGTTCAGGGTTTCCAGCTCATGCTTGGCATGGCATTAAAAATTTCGACCTTTATTCCGAATGTATTCCATATTGAGTTTATGTACCCATAAAGATGTAAAATGTTGCGCTCAAAACTGACCGGACCAAAGCTTAAGGCCGTTTAGGGTTTAGGGCTACACAGTCCCAATCGCTGTGGAGCCTGCTCCCTCTCAGCCTCGAAGGTCAAGAACTTCGACAGGGCCTGGCTTAGGATGCACCAGACGCCCCGAAACTCCTAACAAGGGACTAAAGGAGGGACCCTTAAAGGGACCCTTGGGGTTATATAGGGGCTTTAGGAGACTATATAAGGGGTATATAAGGGTTATATAGGGTATTTGGATTAGGGGTCCCTTCTAGGAGCCCCTCCTAATGTCCCTTAATCCTAGACCAACCCGAAACCTTATCGAAACACCCTACAAACCCTAGAGGGATACAGCCCTAATGCCCTAAACCCTAAAACCCTACACCCTAAACCTAAGCCTAGACCCCTAAACCTAAGCCTAGACCCCTGAACCCTCCTGCGGCTCCCTGCTGCGGTCTGTAAGAAGGATTCCGTCTTAGGGCTCATGTGCAGGGTCCTTAAAACCGGAAAAACTGGTAAACCTAGTTAGGGTTTCTGGTTTCTGTAGGGTTTACGACTAGAACAAGGGCTCCTTTGAGGATTACCATCATAACTTTGCAGGTTCGATACAAAGGGCTGCCTTTGAGGCCTCCCTTGAAGGATCCTACTTGAAGGGATTCAAAAAGGATTCCCTCGGGGTTTAGGGCCTTAGCTGGACATGAAATATAGGGAAGTAGGGCTCAACTTCGGCATTTTGGTGAGTGTGTATTGGACCTGCCATTCGAAGTGCATCACGGAATGGAGCAGCCTAACCCGTTTAGGGCTTAAGGTGGAGGCTTTTGGGTTGTCTCTTGGGGGGGGTTGGGGTTGCCGAAGAACCCCGAAGCCCCTTTTCATCCCAGGCCGATCAAGACACAAAGACGAGCATCAATGGCGGAAGCATGACCAAGCCGGCATCCCAGAGAATACTGCCCCAAACCTCAGTGAAAGACTCAGGGCGTGGGAGTAGAGAACAGCGTGCTTTCTGCGGCAGCCCGAATCAATAGATGTTGGGGTCTCACATCCATGAAATCCTAGAGAAGACCCCTGACTTTGGGACCGTTGTTTCTTAGAGAGTCGGTGTGGGCTCGAGGCTCATACAATGGATGTCGCATGGCGTGTCGGCCCAACACTACCTTGTTATATGGGGCCTTCCTTCGGTGAGAATCGGGCTTTGGGGCATGGCAAAGCTACAGCTCTAATCTTGATCGAATCCCTGACAAAAAATCCACGAGTACTTTTCCAGGCCCCTAACCCTAAAACCCCAAACCCTAAACCCTAAACCTTAAACCCTAAACCCTAAACCTTAAACCCTGAAGCCTACACCCTAAACCCTAAACCTTATTAAACCCCAAAGACTACACCCTAAACCCCATTACAATCGACGACCTCTCCCGAACAAACTGGAAGGCTCGAGGGCTGATCCTCGACTTGGCAAGATTGGGCTCAGCGCGGCCTCAATGATTCCTATGGGCACCTTAATGATTAAAATAGGGCCTTGGGGAATTAGGGTTTAGGGTTTCGGGTTTGGGGCTTGGGGCTTGGGGAATTAGACGAAGGCTGTTGGGGTCTATGATACTATAACAAGAAGCCCCAAGATGGTATACGTAGTTCTTTGGCTTCTACGTTAGTCAGTCGTGGGTTTAAGTTTAGGGCTTAGGGTTTTTGTGGTAAGCTCGGGCATACCTACATTTCTAATTTATATATGGAACACTAAGGAGTAGTATGAATAGTCATTTAGGGCTCTATAAAACCCTATAAAGTCTTATACAAGGCTCTGAAAACCCTATGAAACCGTGAATTTCGGGTTCTTTTATCTTTCTACAGGCTGCCTCCGCCTCTTCCTATTCCTCTTGCGCTGCTTCTGCTCCAGCTCCTACTTTTAGACTAAACCCTAAATGCACCAAACCCTAAACCCTATCCGTTAAATGCCAGCGCACAGACCTTTTAAAGCTTGGAAGGAGAGTGGAACCAAATGGGCCTGGTTCAAGCCGTTAGTGAGTTTAGCTGACGATGAAAGCAGGCTTGGTGTCCTGCCAAGTGCATCGAGCCGTGATAGGGGCTCTCCTTGCGAAACCAGGCTTTCTGGTTGTGGCCGGTTAGGGTGGGGGAGGTTTAGGTCCCAAGCCCCAAGGTACAAGAACGCTAAACCCTAAACCCAAAACCCTAAATCCTTAACCCAAAACCCTAAACCCTAAACACGAAAGCCAAACCCATGAGTTCAACAGCCAAAAGCAAGCAAACGAAGCACGAAGCGGGAGACCGGGCAGGGCCTCAGCAGATTTGGGGTATCTGATAACTCTACCCATAGGCCCTAAAGTAGTGCCTTTTTGGGATTACCTAATAGGATCCTTAATAGAAGCCTCAGAAAGGAACTACCATGGGGCCTATGGGTATAGCTAAGAAGGGACTGGATGTGTATACTATCACTAGCTGCTCAGAGTACTGTAACCCTGAACCCTAAACCCCGTAGACCGAAATTTTTAAGACCGCGGAAGCAAGTAGAACCAGCCGAGCCTCTGAAACAGAGAGGGGGCAGGCATTTGCATCTTCGGGGTTATATGTTCGAGATAGGCTACGGAAATGCAATTGCTTTAGGTTCCTTCTTACAATCATAGTATAGTCCTATAAGTATAGTAATGCTACGTTGGCGGTTCCTTATGGGCCTGGCGTGGCTCTGGCCCGACAGAGATCACAACAACCAATATATGTGAGTACACTATGACTACAACTGCAATAGGAGCCAGAAGCAGTAGCAGTAGGAAAATATGCATTTTCTACAGTACCCACGACATGAACAGCAAACCGCGTCAAGATCTGTCCTCATGGATGACGATGCCCTCCTCCGTGACACGCCTCCGTCTTCTGGGATTCTGCAACCCGTTTCGTCTGTACCGGGCTAACTTCTCGGGTTGCTGCCTCTACATTCTGGTCGAACGATCTACTGCTCTGACATCCGGCTGCAAGATTCTTTGCGGGAGTAAACCATATACGATATCGACAAGCTGAAGTGCACATAGTACGGCGGGGTCAGCACAAGAGTCGCAAGAGAAAGCGGTGATCAGAAATGAGGCATCCTGAAACCCATACCTTGCACACGGAACTGTCGTCCCCCTAATATAGGGGCCTTCGTGGTTAGAGTGGGGCTTTTGGGGGTTTAGTCTGCTGAAAAAAGATCCACTCTTACGCCACTGGATACCGTTGCAAGAACTGTAGTTTCAGCCGTTTCTTAGGGATTCTAGCAGCCAAAAATTGAATCAATCAAATGTGTCCAAGTACCCCGAAGAAACTAGCATGGGCAACTATTTAGGCTCCTATACTAGTCCAAACCCTAAACCCTGAACCCCATAGACACTCCAAACCATCAATGTGCAACTACCGGGTCGCTAGCATCGACGCAAGTGTCTCTGAGATTGTGGCCGGCTGTCTGTCCACTTTCTTCTCGTATACTCTAGCATATCTTAATAGGATAGCATATTATAGTAGATTGTAGTACATCGTCGTGGGTTCTGGGTTTGGGGAATAGGCGACGCCGGCGTTTTTGAGTACTGTCATCTTGTGAAGACGCCACCCGATCCCCGAAACCCCGCCACCCTAAACCCCAAACCCTAAACTCTAAACCCTAAACCCAAAGCCCTAACCCTACACCGAAAAGAACAAACCCAGAGCCCATGGGCCCGAAAAAAAGTCAAAACTTTCCGGGCGCCTTGCCTTGATGAGAAGAGGCGGGACCACCTCCAGATCCTCTACAGTTCGGGTTTAGGATTTAGGGTTTTAGGGTTTAGGGTTTAGGGGCTTAGGGTTTATAGGGTTTAGGGTTTAGGGTTGTGATTTAGGGTTTTAGGATTTAGGGTTCAGGGCTTTGGGGGTAGAGATTATTTGTGATTTGGGGTTTTAGGATTTAGGGTTTACGGCTTTGGGGGTAGAGGTTTAAGGTTGCCTAGCTAGGGTTAGGGTCTAACATCGAAAAGTGTGACGTCATGGCGAGTGTTAGGCTTTCGAAGTGTGCTCTGTGGCCGGGGTATAACATAGGGGCCTTAAATAGTTAGACAGTTAGACTGAGTTAGACTAGGCCTTCGGGGAATACTATACCCGAAAGATGATTATGATTGGTACTTCTTCAAGCCTTTGTAAAACCCTAAA